CCCCTCCAGCTAAAGATATCTTGCATTTCGCAGACAGGAGACGAGGTCTCTCGCGCGCTTAGTCCCGTCCTCTTCTCTCTCTTCTGTGCTGCAATTGGGCTTCTCATTCTCCCCCCCTTTCTATTTGCCCATTCCACCTTACCCCCCCTCCCTGACCGCATCGCATACGCTGCGCAGCCATCATGGCCACCAACGGCACCACCAACGGCATCAGCAAAGGCGAGGCCGCCGGCATCAACACCACCCACACTACCTCGCAGCGGTATCTCAGCACGCGCGGAGAGGACAGCGGTGTATGATTTCCTCTCCTCTCCCCTCCCCTCCCCGCCAGCGCATGCCTTCCCCAAAGCCAGCTTCGCCCCGGCGCGCGCCGTTGGACGTCATGCTCGGGGGCCGCGATTGCTGACCACATCCCCAGTTCTCCTTCGAGGAGGTCGTCCTCAAGGGCCTCGCGAGCGATGGCGGCCTGTTCATCCCTGAGCACATCCCTCAGGTCGATGACTGGCAGACCTGGAAGGACCTCGCCTTCCCCGACCTCGCTCATAAGATCCTGTCTCTGTACATCTCTCCCTCTGAGATCCCTTCCGCCGACCTCAAGGGCATCATCGACCGAAGCTACTCCACGTTCAGAGCTCCCGAGACCACGCCGCTCCGCCACCTCAACGACAACCTCTACCTACTCGAGCTGTTCCACGGCCCTACCTTCGCCTTCAAGGACGTTGCTCTGCAGTTCCTCGGCAACCTCTTCGAGTACTTCTTGGTGCGCAAAAACGAGGGCAAGACTGGAAAGGGTATGCGCCTCTGTAGCCTGCGGGCCTCCGCCCAAGGATACTGTGCCAATTGGGACATGCGGGACTAACACGTTGCGCAGACAGACATCATCTGACTGTGGTCGGTGCCACGAGCGGTGACACCGGTTCTGCCGCCATCTACGGTCTGCGAGGCAAGAAGGATGTCTCCGTCTTCATCCTCCACCCCAAGGGCCGCGTTAGCCCCATCCAGGAGGCCCAGATGACTACCGTCTTGGACGAGAACGTCCACAACCTTGCCGTGACTGGCACCTTTGATGACTGCCAAGTAAGTCGCACGCGCCTCAACAGACCCCTGCTGAACGACATTACCTAACCTCGACTACCTAGGATATCGTCAAGGCCCTCTTCGCCGACTCGGACATCAACTCGACCCACAACCTCGGTGCTGTCAACTCCATTAACTGGGCGCGTATCCTGGCGCAGATCGTCTACTATTTCCACTCCTACTTCTCCCTCGTCAAGTCTTCCGAGACATTTAAGCTTGGCGACAAGGTCCGCTTCGTCGTGCCCACGGGTAACTTTGGCGACATCCTTGCCGGCTACTTTGCCTACCGCATGGGTCTGCCGGTCGACAAGCTCGTCATCGCGACCAACGAGAACGACATTTTGCACAGATTCTGGACGACTGGCAAGTACGAGAAGCAACCCGCTCCTCCTGCGGAAGCTACTGGCGGTTTGGCTCAGGATGGCGTCACGGCGCACGAGGACGGCGTCAAGGAGACTCTCAGCCCTGCCATGGATATTCTCGTCTCAAGTAACTTTGAGCGCCTGCTGTGGTTCCTGGCCTACGAGTTTGCCTCTAGCGCCGGCATGGACGACGAGTGGAACAAGAGACAGGCCGGCCAGGAGGTGTCTTCTTGGCTCAAGGATCTCAAGACAAAGGGCGGCTTCGGCCCCGTCTACCAGGACGTCCTCAACTCGGCCCGTCGCGACTTTGAGAGCGAGCGCGTCAGCGATCCTCAGACCGTCGAGACCATCAAGAGCTACTACAACAAGATTGGCTACGTTCTGGACCCCCACTCCGCCATTGGTGTGTCCGCTTCCGAGCGATCCATTGACCGCGCGGGAGCCGAGGTGCCGCACATCTCGCTTTCCACCGCCCACCCCGCCAAGTTCGCCGGCGCCGTCGACCTCGCTCTTAAGGATGAGGAGGGATTCGACTTCAAGGCCAATGTGCTGCCGTCGGAATTCATCGGCTTGGAGGAGAAGGAGAAGAGGGTCACGGAGATTGTCAATGATTGGCAAAAGGTGCGAGAAGTCGTCAGGGCCCAGGTTGACGAGGAGCTCAAGGCCGCCGAGAGCTGATTTTGGAAAATATCTTTTTGAGTGGAAGCATATAAACAACATGAGAGAGAGCATGCAGGTGGCGGGTCTGGCTTTTCCTGCGGGTTTTACCTTCTTCCAAAGGACGGGGGAAATCTTGCTGGGGAGGAGGAAGATGAAAGCATATGGGAGCACAAACAAAGATGGCGCCTTTTGGTATCGTCACTGTAGCTGCGATTTGGCATTCCAATACGGCATCGGTGTCTTCTGATTTAGGTTTCTTCGTCGTGGGGAGCCAAGATTACATGCTGGGGGAGGGTGCAAGCGATGATGTCGTCGGAGGCAAAGGGTTGAGGGGGGCGCACTGGGCAGGTATTGCATGGGCGTTGCTTGGCTGAGGCCATTACCTTCCGCCCTGAATGTTTGAACAATACATACAAAAGCATCCAAAGTACGCACGCACTCGATACAGTGGCAGATATCCGTTACATGACACGCGACATTGGAAGGGTTTGCTTTATGATGATTTCACTGTGAGTCATACGTGGTGGGTGATCCAAACTGTCAGCCAAGTTGAGTTTGGAGGCCACGATCCGAAGTGTTCCTCCAAACCGTAAACCGACGGCACATGTCAAACCCTGCCATACGTCGTTTGGTCCATCTTGAACATCTCAACATTGTTTGTACGATGTGAGATGCCGGCAGGAAGCTAATGCTCCAGGATAGCCAAACGGCTTGCGGGGAGCTGGCATGTAGTTGAGGCATTAACGCCGGAGGCCGGCCAGCAGGATGCCCGCCAGAGGGGAGGCCCGCGAATCGATCGACTCCTCAGACGCGGGGCAGTGAAGCGCTTTCTTTTGTCTTTGACATGTTGAGAGGGAGTCTGGGACGGGACGGTGATGGGAATTCCTCTTCGTGCTGAGATTCCATTTGACGGGGGTGAGTGGACAAAAGTTTATAAGAAGCTGGGTCTCTCTCACCTCGATAGCTTGCCCCTTTGCATAGATCATTCAGAAGAGACACACTTCATCGACTTCATCGACTTCATCACACTCAGCTCAAGCAGTCCATCAACTCGAATAACCTTCCACACCGGAATCCGTCAACATGCCCAACCAAATGACCAAAGAGGACGCATCTCGCATCCAAGGCAGCCAGGTCGGTCTCGCTCCCTTGACTCTAATCTCATATTTCCATAATACGGGCGGGGATGCTTGTTGAAGAAGTCTATTATACTAATATTGATGACAATTCTAGGCAAAGGCGGGAAATGACATGTCGTCCGGCGGCTTCGCCGCCAGAGCCCAGGGCGCGGGTGACAGAAACACGAACGCCGGAGTCGGTGCTCAAGGACAGGGCCAGGGAGGTCAGGGTCAGCAGGGCGGGCAGAAGAAGTAGGGGAGAGGCCTTTCTCGCGCTCTCTCTCTCAAACCGGAGGGAACTAGGGGGGAGGGGGGAATGAGTCCCCTTGTCCGCAGAAATTACTTTCTACCATTCTCGTCGCTCGTTTACACTGGAAATTTGACTCTATCTACCTACCTACCTACCTACCTACCTAGCTCTAGCAATAAAAAAAAAGAGCTGGAAGGACGTCGGCCCTTGATGACGTGACATATTGAAGAGGTTGTCCCGTATCTAGACCTCGAAAGGGTGTATTGGTCTTTTGGAGCAGAGCATACATGTGTTCTGTGCCCGTGGTTTGTATTCCGAAGGCAAGAGATCCAAAGAGTTGATGACATGCTTACTGCAACAATTTCAATGACGGTTTTTCGATATACGGACTTGGTGTCTACAATGCGTAAGCGGGATGTATTGGTCTTTGCAACGTCAGACGACGTCCTCTGCGCTCTTGTTCCACAGACGGGTGGCGGGAACGATTTGCAGTAGCTACATTCTGGTTCTACTTTCCTGAAGGAAGGGTTCCTCCGTTCACTACTCCTCTTTTTACGAAGAAGGAAGAAGCCGCTAACGACCTTGCGAAACAGGGGGAAGAATAGCCGTCCTTTACCCAAGGGACGGGGGGTAAAATCCATTCATCAAGCTGAAGAACCAGTTTGATTTGGCTGAAATCCAACGCCCCAAGATGCCAAGGCAGTCAAAGGGATCTGACAGCATCGTCAAGGCGCAATTTCTCTGCGGGGGAGGCTGAGGAGATGAGCAATGGCCAAATGTTCAAGCCAACCGGTTATGATCATGTTCAATGGGTCGATATCAGCCTGTTGGCGGCCCCCAAGCTCCAGGACCTTGTCATGTTGTATTTGCCACCGCCAACAAGGCTCCAGAATAGCGACTTCTTCGCACCAGGCATCAGGACTCAGCAAAGAGGGTGTCGGAGCGGAGAAGGAAGGGACGGTAGGGTAGACTTGATGACAGAACGATACTGGTAAATGGCTGCCTCGCTCGAGGAATAGTTTCAGATGACCGGGAAGTCTCGTCCAAGGCTGTAGGAAACGGCATCGCTCCCAGTTCTGTGAGACATGGCATCACTGCAAGACGGCGAGCCAGAGGAAGGGGGACCGTCCAACCGATTTCAAAGTGTACAATTCTAATCCGAGGAGGGTGTCTGCGGGTGGAGAAGGTGTGGTGCCTGACCAAAGCCTGGAGAGTTTTATTGCGGTAGCCTTGCCGAGGCGGTGTTGACTGCCGTGTGAGAGACGATGAAGGGTTGTTTAGACGTATTTCGCGGTGAAGGTGAAGGTGTGGTCATGGAGAATCGGTACGTTCCTGACGTGAGACTTGGCAGGCGTGGGATGTGGAGAGGCAGCCCAAGCGCAGCCGCGATGACCTGCGAGGGCTGTACAGTGTTGACTACGTGACTTTTCTGGCAAAAGACGCTCAAAAACACTGTATTCGTAGGTGCCCTCCGAAAACCGCTCGTCAGGAGAGGAGATCCACTTCTTTTTGCGCTTGCTTACCGCCGCCTCCACCTGCCATGCCATTCCCCGCTGCGATACTTCCAAATCGACATCATCGCGGTTGGCCCAAGCTCGACTCCACCTCGAAGATGGATATCCAAATCCAAAGACGTTACTTACCCAAGGGCGCCGTTGTGCCCTTCTGTGTCTGCGCCCTTTTTCCGTTTCATGCTATTTACAGGCATCCTCAACAAATTGCTCTTTGAATGTGTGTTCTGCAGGCAAGCCCCCCGGGATGAACCGCCGCCGGGTCAAAGCTCAGCCCCCGGAGCTGGCCCCGAATGACCCCCCCTGCCGCGTGAGACATGCCACTCATGCGCTCACTACAAACGACCACCCAAGTCTCACCGCGCACAACTTGTGAGACCGTCTACATGACTGCCAACCCAAACCTCCCGAGCCCGCCTTCAGACTCACACCTAGGTCAGCGACACGGCACCCGACAACCCTTCAACGTCGAGGCCTCGACTGCTTACACACACCCACTCTTTCCCCCGCCGTCCCACCCTCTCGGCCTGCAAGGTACCTTGCCTTAGTATGAACTCCAGAGGAAGAAGGAAAGTTGTCCTTCGCCAGCCAAGACAAAGCCCTCTCTGTCTGTAATGTTTAAACCCTTCAACCGGTCCAGTTCGTACTAGTTTTCTTCACGGCCCGCAACCTCCAAGGGCGCGCGCGTCAGCCACCGAGTCGGCGCCCATCCCTCTCCCGCCCACGCGCTTGAGCCTCGTGCCCTTTTGCCCTCTCCTCCGATGACTCGCAGCCGTTCCTTCCTCTTCCCTGCGCCTGCCACCTTCTGCGAAAGCTATCGAAATAGTGACGAAGAGTACAGTCTAGTGATGAACGTCCCAGAGCTCTGGATCCCGAGTCCCCATGCCAGGGCACACACGCAGACATACGGCCTGCCTTCTTTGACAGGATCCCTCCCCTTTTCTTTAGAAAGGAAAAAAAAAGGGCGGACGAAGCCCTACCCGCTCCCGCTCCGCCATGCAGCCGTCTCACCAGTCCTCGTTGGTTTACGAGACTGTTCGTCTTCTGCTTTGATCACCTGCATATCGCCCTGGCTCTCGTGGTCTGCTGTCGTTATCCCCAGATCTCCATATCAAGGCCTCGATCTCCCCCTCCCAGAGTTCCTATCGGTTTCCGATTTTCTCTCGTCTTCGTTGATATCCTGATCCAAAATCTGAATACTGCTTTCCAAGATCCAAGCTACAACCCTTTCAACAGCCTCGCAACCTTTTTTTGACTTACACCGACGACTACCGCCCTGTATTCACTCACTTTCAACAGCCATCTCGACAAAGCACCACATCACTCCTAGTCCCAGACAACTGCTTCCAAAGATCGCATGGCCACCCGCCGGTGGTACCTCGAGACCTCCCCGGACGGCAAATACCAGTTCGTCTCCCTCAAGCGCTCTCGTTCTCATCACCACTACGACCGCCACCATCACCACCGCCATCACCATGAACAGCCAGCCCCGGTACCGGCACCGGCACCGACGCCAGTGCCACCAGTCCACCACTGCTGCCGCGACGACTGCGCGCACATCACCGCACCAGAATGGAACGACCTCGTAGATCGCGAACGCAAGCTCCGCGAGGCAAACGACCTCCTCAATCGCGAAAACTACACTCTAAAATGCAGCCTCCAGGCCTCCGACGTCGAAGGGCATCGCCTCTCCGCGCTCCTCATCTCGTCGCAGGCAGAGAACCAGCTCCTCCGCGAAGACAACGCCAGCCTGCGCCGCACGATGGAGAGCTCGGGCGGCAACGCGGCAAAATACCTGCGCGAGGTCGAGAGGTTGAAGCATAAGCTGGCAAAAGTGGAGAGGGAGCTGGCGGCGAGGTTGCGGCATGGTTTGCACCATCACGGGCATGGGGTGGCGGAGCGGATCGAGGAGCTCAAGAGGATTGTGCACGCGTGGGAGGGCAAGTTTGATGTTGTCGAGGATCAGAATCAGAGGTTGAGAAGGGACGTTGACGCGCAGCGCCGCGTTATTGCGAGCCGGGATGAGAGGATTCGCGAGTATGAGCGCGTCTTACGTCGTCATGGCTTTTATACGGTATGAATGAGTCCGGGTGTGGACTGGGGGAAGGGAAGGGGGAGACACTTGAGATGAACTCTTGTTTTCTTTTTACCTTTTTTTTTTTGGGTTTGGCTTTTCTTCTCCGTGAACTTCGTATTCGCGGATTCTGAGGGCGGTTGGATATCAGTATTTCCAACGGCCGCTTGAGAGGAGTCTCTTCTTTCTTTGGCAGGAAGGACTGTCTGGCTAGGCGGATATTTCATCCGAGAGTCTTGAGGTGAGTTTCTTTGTTCTCTCTTTGTTGTTGTCGAGATGTGATGCCTGGGATCAGAGTACTGACGTTTGCTATCTAGGCTTAGAATGCAGGGCATAGCTTTTATTGGCTTCGATTCAAGATAGACTTTTGCTGCTGATGCTCCATTGGACACCACTCATGCAGGCACTGCAAGACAATCATTGGGTGATGGAGCATCGCAGTCTGACACTCACTCACGACAACTTTTCATTTGTCACAACGGCTTCACCGGCATTACTGTTTTGTTTTGGAGCTTGCAAATATTCCATCAGAGGGAACTTTCCTTGGGGGAGTGAACGATGGAAGATGGAAATGGACAGTCATCTCCATGTTGCTTCCTTTTATGTGTCATTTTTACCCCCTTTGTCAGCTTTATCATTCACTTTCAGGTCCCCTGAGCCTTCACCACGTTCCAGACAAGAAAGCCGAGAACTCGCTCCACCATTCCTACTCTTGCACTTGAGCGCGCCAAATTTCCATGCAAGCAAGTGACACTGCCGCTTTCGACGATGTCCGAGTCACTCGATATGACAAGCCATTTGAAGAATGACACCACCGTGGAATGCTCCGCATGTTTAAGTCTTGCCAAAATTCGAATTGAAGTTGGGTGTTTCTATTTCTCGGAGGCGAGAGAGCAAGGGCTCGCCTCGATGATTCTATAGATGGTGGTAGACTACCAATGTGGTGCCATGCTCAGCACTGACTCGCATCCAAGTTGAAGCTTGATAGAATGACAATAAAGTGAACAAAGACTTTAAAAAAAAAAAAAGAAACCACCGTAGAATGTCTTTGTGAGTGGCTGTCGAGTGAGACGGACTTCGGCACCTGGTCAACTAGTCAGCTGTCTCGAACCAAGACATGATGCCGGACCCCATGACGCCATCCCGTCATCTCAGCTTTCTCCAAAAAAAAAAAAAAAAAATTTAGGGACGCGCAGTCTACTACACTAGGTACTGCGGCAAAACCGGGATGCCAAACTGGTGGGTACGAAACAAGGTCTGTCAAAATGCAAGGGTTTCGTTCGTTTATGTTAGTTAGTTACCCCATGGCCACGTCAAAATCGGACATGATGGTGTGCAGCATAAGGCTGCAGCTTGCCGCGGCGCCGGGGGGGTTCGGAGAGGAGGCGAGACAAGGGCCGAAAAAACGGCATTGCGCGCAAGACGGCGGCGCTCGAATGCGCGATTGCGCAAAAATAGTGTTCGTGTGCAAGCAGAAGCAGGTATGTGCGTCTGCAACAGAGTGAATATCGCGCAAGATCGTCGTCATCCGTGTAACTGAATGAACAGCTCGCCAGAGAAATCCGCGAGGGCCTGCTCGTATTTCCCTTCCGGACTTGTGAGAGCGGATGCAGCAGTGCGGCGTGTCTGTCTCTCATCGTTTGCCAAAGAGCGAACACTGAGGTGAGCGAAATCAGTCATCCGAAGGGGGACACCATCACCATCGACCCCTCCTTGGTATTTCAGCCGCAGCCGCATAGCCGCAGCCAAAATCGGAAATCCCCAAGTGATCACAGGCTCGCTCGCTTCAGCAAGCGCGCAAAGATACATCAAAGAGGAAAGGTAACCGCGAGGCACAGCCAGGCGATGAATGAGGAAACGACGGGGTTTTTCTTTTTTTGGCGGCCGAGAGGGTGAGTGAGATAAGCACCTAGAAGGGTCTGCGACTGAGGGAACGTTTATCTACGCCATTCCGTTCGGGGTTCCCTGTTCCTACTGTATCAAGAGACGACCTCAGTTGGCTCCCTCCCCGCTTACCTCTGATGTTAATGTCGACCGACCGGGGTGAATGTCGTTACTGGATGTGGTCCCCGTCTTTGACAACAGCGGATACAGGGTGCAGGCAATACAGGGACCGCAATGCGCTGAGAGTGGCAGCAGTAGTAGACACCGGCCTTTCGCGGGTGATACTACCTACGGACAACCAAAGACGGATGTCTAAGAGCTGACGAAGGCGAACAGGCAGCCGTCTTCACCATCGCTGGCAGAAGGGAAAACGTTTGAGTAGGTACCTTAGGTGGATGACGGAGGTACCTGGATCAGGCAAAGTACGTACCGTCCAGGATTTCCCAGACAGGGGTCAAGCCTGCTGCCTTGGTAATCCACTCTGTTTTTGTCGACAAATCAACTTACACCTTTCCTCCCTTTCTTCCCTTTCCTCTACCGGCCCCTCCATCATCCGATTCGAAACAGTATTCAAGCCGTGTCTCTGTCAGCGCATTGAAAACTCCAGTAGATGGAAGAATGTAGGTAGCAATTTGGTGATTTCAAACCACTCGAATGGCTTTTCCCCCTGTAATCTCTCGGTTCCTGATCAAGTGCTCACGCGGTGGCAAGAATTGTTGGCCGCTTTCTAGTGTAGGGAGCCATCCAGCTATTTTCAACCCTTGAGATATCTACCAAAATAGCTCTTATTTTTTATATAAAAAATCGACCACTAAATAACTTAAGCGTTAAAATTTATGCTTCCTTTTTAATATTAAATATCGTTGATAGGTGGTTGTGGTGATTTATTTTTCTTGTAGTGGAAGTCGAAGAAGGGCGACCGCTAGAAAAAGCGGCCGTCAGTTATTGCCACCGCGTGGTGCTTTAAATAAGGTACCTTATGACAAGCAGGGAATGTGACAAGGCACGTACCTTGGACTGCAGAAATGATGGGGGGAACAAGTCCGTCTCTGTTACACACACTCTCTCGCTCGGTCCAGCCCGTTGCTGTCGCGTGTTGAGGAATCGAGCAACTGATTTTTGGACCTGGCCTATGCTATCGATTGCCATACTGAACGAGCGAAACGAGAGACTGGATTGCCCCCAGCCTCCGTGGAAACGAGATCGCCAGTGTCACCCATCGTTGCCACGTCAACATCTAAGCGCCGAGAACTCAACAGAGGCTTCAGCCTGGTGATGCAAACATGTAGAAGTATTGAGCAGGTGTCTTTCCAGGCGAGATTCTTACCCCGTGTATCCTTACAAGCCGGTACATTGCTCGGCTGAAATATCATCTCGATTTTATCAGTGAGGGGCCAAAGTGACAAAGATACTTGGTGTTTGATAGTTTCCAGCTGCAGGATAAAGAACAGCGCATCGCATACATGACTGATATCCCGCAAAAGGCCGAGTCTCGGGCGGATTTGGGTCCCGGCTCCGACCTAGACCAGTAAGAATGTCTGAACCCTTCTTGGACAGTTGGAAGGACTCGCGGGGATCTACATGTCTTGGCAGGGAACGCAGTGCTCTGTATCCGTATGGAGAGCACAAATGCGCTCTGTAAAACCCGGGTCTGAACGTGAACGAGTACCTCGCATCATGGACGGATTTCTCCGCTAGGGCACTTGATCGGCGAACTCGGGGACCCATGGCCGCCGTTGGCTGGGCCCCGCCGCCTCTGGGGGCCTGATGTTGGATAGCTTCTATTGGGCGTGAAGCCTACCGTGAATTTGCGCGCGCGGTTGCCGACATCTTGTTTCAGTAGCAGCTTCCAACACTCCCCACAGTCCAGGCCTTGTTCCGACCCAGCCCTGTTTCGGAAGAGAAGAAGCCAAAAAGTTGCCTGCCGTCAAGGAATGGTATCGCGTCTAGAATCATCTGGAGATGGATCAGGGTGCCTGCCTATCCGGTCGAGCTAGCATATTCAGTTCATGGGAAAGTGTAAAAACTACGCCATAAGCTCGACTATGCATTCCCCATCCCTCAATGGAACCTGTAGTGGATAACAAGGGACCTGATGCTGCTTTTTGAGGGGTTGGGGGATGTTTCGTGACTCTAAACGGCCGTTATCCCGGCCGAACTGGGCTTAGCTACATCGTGTCTCCCAGCCCTATAGAATTGGAGTCTGAGACTAAGTTAGGGTTCTGCCTGGGTCTACGAAGAGCGTCCGGGTTCTCCCACCTTCTGCCAAGACATGGCGGCGGGTTCTATGTAGACGGCTGCCGCCTAGAGTCCCAACTGATAGCGTGTACGAAGTTTTCCCTGACGACTGAGGTGTCAGCAATTAAAGCCTTTGGAGGGCAGACGGTTAAGCCTCATTGGTCGTCATCCGATGCCGGCAGGAAGCCAGAGTTGACAGGCCCTGTCAAGATGATGTTCGGCAGGGGACTGCCTGCTGCGTGGGTTAGGCCGTGGGGCGGTGTCCGCTAGCCTGTGCTTAGTCTCTTCCGCAGCAGCTCCCCCACTTCTGGTCCCCAGACCTCACTTCATCCCGTACACTCAACACCACCACCATCGGCCTACAGCCTGATCACCATGGCGAAAAGCGGCTCGCGACGTCCCTCCCAATGAACGGATCATCGTATCGGAACTGATCGATCCACGATCAGCTCGTCTATTGGCGCACTCGGATGATGGCGATCGATCATCCGAGGGGGAAGAAAGATGCGAGAACAACACGCCATGGTTGGCCGGTCTTGCATCGAGCGCATGGAAGGGAATCGAATTGGCCTCAGTTACCAACGATCATCGCCATGGTCACGAACGAACCGCGTCCCGTCGCGGGGTCCAGACATGTAGCGGGGAGTGACTAGTGACTCACGACGCGGTTTCAACTCCATCTCCCCATGACCTGGTCTCCGTCCAGGGGGGGTGCCTCACGATGGCATCAACTAAGAGTCCAGGATAGGCTGCACGACGATCACCTTCACGATCATGGCGAAGTTATTGGCTCAAGGAGACATGCAACGGCAATACGCATGTCATCATCCTGGAGATGGGGTGAGGGAACAGAGAAACAGGTTCAGAGGCGCAGACAAGCTGCAGCAAAGGACCGCACAGCGCCAAGCGGCAACCCGTTGGCGTCCTCCCCCCCCGAATCGCGCGCGTCCCTCACCTTTCTTGTGCGCAATGGCGATATTCTCTGGCGGCGGCGGAGGGGTTCCGTTCTGCAGCCGGCCGGCCCCTCACCTGCTCCGAGTCCTGAGTACTGCCGAGTACTGCGTCCTGACCTCACCTTGGGACTTCCATAGGTAGGTACATCGAGTCGACTAGCGACGCACGCAAGTGAGTGCTTCGCCCTCTCCCTTTGGTGCTGCAAATGCGGGAGGCCAAACACTGAATGCATGGAAAGGGCAGCGCAGCGCAGCGTGCCCCGCGGATTGGGCGAACCAGAACCATTCTCCCGGGTAGGTACCTTAGGTATGCAGATGGCATTTGCGAACCATTTCGGAGGCACTCTGGCCGAAATAAGGCGCCCCGCGAAAAAATTGCAGCCAAACGAGGCAACGAAAAAGTTGCGTTTCTGCCTTGTTGGCTTGCTGGCCACATGCACCGCCCTCTGCCTGTGGTGTGCCAATGAGAACACCGGCTGCCACCGAGAAATCTGGTCAACTGAACCTGAGCAGTGCGCCCCCTTTTCTGGCTGGCTGGGCTGTGGTTGGCTGTGGTTGGCTCGAGGGGAGCTTCTTGGGAACAGTCAGCAGAAAATGGGAGTTGATTCCTTGCCGGCTTCTTTTTTCCACTTTGTTTCTGCTTCCCGTCCGCTTCAGTCCATCCACACACTCTCTTCTTGTCCACCACCCTTGTCTTTGCCCCCCTGTCCACTTGTTCCCTTGTGTGCTTGTTTCCTTGTCCACTGTCCACGGCACCCAGCCCAGTCCCTCCCGTCATGACACCCCTGCCGAGGGTGAACCCGCGATTCCGCCGTCCGTCCTGCCTAACGAACCGCTGCGGGTTGAGGTTGATGTGAAGGGACCCGCGATGACTCTACCTTGAGGTAGGTAGGTACCTACCTACCTTACCTTAGTCACCTAGGACACGCACCGCGCAACTGCAACGTCTGCAGCGAGGAGGCAACCGGGCTAAGCAGCTCCAGCCCTACATGGCCACTACCGAAGCAATACCTGGAATGTTGCTAATCTCCTTGGGTCTCGGAACATGTTCTTCGTACCTTTCTCGTTGTCCTTGTGTCGTCGGTGGGCTTCTTCCCACCTGCTGCTGCCATTACTCGTGGTATACCTACCTTACTTATCCCTGCAACTGCTGCCGCAACCGTTCTCCCTTTGCATCGCAAGTTGCTGTCTGGCTTAGCTTCGGAGGCAGCAATGCAATGCAATCCACACCCACACCAAATCCATCTGTCCTTATCACTCTCCCTCCGCCTCCGGCTGCGCCTTTTCCTCTGCTCCCTCTCCGTCAAGGCTGCATTACCTATGTCTACATTCTCGATAAATAAAATGTCAAGAGACTGCGCATCTTGCCTCTTCTCCCTTTTCATTCATCCCTCACTTCTTTGCTCATTTCAAGCACGTTGCGGCTATTTTCTATCCCAAACCAAAATAACACCCGGTCCCATCTTGGGCAGCATTCACCCCCTTATATACCCGACTTGACTCATCTCAACAAGGCCGCACGACTTGTATTAACCCGCGCCTACCACCACACCACCCACATTGAATTTCAAAAAATTTCAATTCAGCTCGCTCCAAATACTTCGCTCTCACTTCAGTCGCGCCCATCTACGGCGAAAGGGCTTTCTGCCTTGGGCTTCCTTGGTTGACACCGTCAACTCACCATTGATCGACAATCCCCGGCCGCCCAGCGCCGCCCAATAACCGCCAACCATGTCGTCCGCCAACAGAAAGGAACACCGCGTCTCCTTCCAACCCATCCCACTCTCAAAGGGCCACCGCCACCAATCGAGCGATTCTGGCATTTCCGAAGTCAGCTCGACCCAGGACTTTTTCGACCTTGAGATGAAATACAAGAAGTTGCTGGAAGATTTTGCACAACACAAGAGCGAAAGCAAAGCCCGCTGCTCTGCCCTGCAGAATACCATTGATGTTCTGGAGAGCGACAAGCTTGCTTTGGATCGCGAAAAGCGCAACTTGCGCGAAGAAAACAACCTCCTACGGGACGATCTCCGCAAGGCGCAACGGAACAGCCCGCCTCGAGACTCGACAAAAATGTCGGGCGCACTTCCAAGCCACCCGCCCTCGCCAAAGGAGCACAAGGAATCCAAGGAATCCAAGGAGTCGAAGCTACGTCGCAGCGAATCCAAGCACCGCCGCGGCGAGAGCAAGGTACGCAAGACCACCGAGGAGAAGGAGCTCGCGAAGCGCGTCAAGGAAGACAAGGAACGCCTTGGCCGCCGCTTCGACCACAAGGACGACAAGAGTGTCTCCTCCGGCGGCAGCTCCAGCCGTAGCAAACAGAGCAGCTATATTGAGCCCATGGGCCCCAGTGCTCCTCGGCCCGCTGCCAACATCGAGCCGCCCCGTACCCATAACAGACGCTCCGAGTCCACGTCGTACTCGATCAGACCGTCCGTCATCACCACCACAACTGTCACCGAACCCTCTTACGGCAACCTCCCGCGCACTCCAGGCTACGCGGACCACGAGAGCCCCTTCGACTATGACGGCGCATATGCTCATGCACAATACGTTCCAGAGGATGCGAACTATTACGCACCCCCTCTATCAAGCGAACCCTCCCGCGGGAGGTCGCGTCGGTAAAATATTCCGATAAAAGCAAGAAGAGACAAATTGCGGCCAAGCCCTGTGTGACGCACCACGGGGCAAGGATTTTTTTTTTCCTTTCGACGCGGGAAAATACGTTTACGATCCTTTCCATTCAGCTACAGGAAATTCTTCATCCCTGGCACGCAGTCTCCAACCGATAAGGGGTCCGGTCCGGGGGGGGGTTTGAAAGCGCGCCTTTTCTCCAAAGACGGGATGGCGCTTTGAGGGGGCTCCCCGCACAGTCCGGGCGCAACGACTTTTTTACCTTTTGTTAAGGGATGAGACGCAGCCGGTTGACGCAATTAGTCGGTTGACTCATCCTCATGAATTTGTTCGGCGAACTTGGCCATTTCCCGAAGCCAATTGTTCATTTCAAGAGACGGAAATCCGCCTAACTCAAAAGTTTTTGGTTTTTTTCCCCCCCTTTTCTCCTTGCTTGATTATGTATCAAATCCTGTACTAGCTTTTTCATGTCAACAACTCGATACCCAATACCCAAATACTCTTTCATTTTTCCGACGATATTATATACATCAGGGATAGGGATACGGATTCGGATAGTCGAGTACAACTCGGGGTATCATTTGCATCAATTGATGATAAATGAATACAAAATAAAATACTTTTTCAACAAACAAAAGACCCAATCACCTCAAAGAAACAAAAGAACCCTCCCCCGCCCTGGTCGCAATGAAGTTGTATCCTTCCATCAGCCCCGACCTCGCTGACTGGGCCGCCCGCCAACCCGTCTTCTTCACGGCCTCGGCGCCCACCCACCACCCCCACATCAACGTCTCGCCCAAGGGCCTCTCCGCCCACTTCGCCGTCCTCTCGCCCAACCTCGTCGCCTACATCGATCGCACGGGCTCCGGGTGCGAGACCATTGCCCACAGCTACGAGAACGGCCGCCTGACGCTCATGTTCATGTCATTTGGTCCCTCCCCGCGCATTCTCCGCCTCTTTTGCAAGAGCACGATTGTGGAATGGGACCATCCGGACTTTGACTCGTGGATGAGGCGCATCGTCCCCCAAGGGGAAGCCGCCAGTACTAGGGAGTCTTATGATGGGGCTAGGGCTGTAGTCGTTGGCAAGGTGTGGGAGGTGCAAACGAGCTGCGGGTATGGTGTTCCCATGGTCAGGAAGGAACTCTACGCGCCCGTGACGTCGTCGGAGGACGGAAATCTCGAAAAGGCGCAGCCGCAGCAGCAGCATGACGTCCATGGCGAGAAGGAGGAAAGCAACACCAAGAGCAGAGACGAGCTCTCCGTCTTTGAGGAGCGTCCCACCCTTGATTTTTACTGGAAGAAGCGCGTGGACAATAATACCGTCAACAAGTACCAGGTCGAGACGAACCGCACCTCCATCGACGGCCTCCCCGGTCTAAAGGCCGCGCGGAGGGACGCGGGGGAGACGCTTTGGATCGCGGACGCCAGGGCTGGGTTGTTGCGCGCGGCGCGAGAGACGCGTGGGGTGGCTCTGGGGGTTTTTATTGCGGTTTTGACGTACCTTGTTGCTGGGTTCATGAGCGTGTTGTGGGTGAGCGGGAGGACTACTACCTCCTAGGATCACAATTGGACTTGGCCAAACTGAGAGTGTGTTTTGGGGTTGAAGGCACATGAAGGAAAAATAGAAGGAAACTACGGTCAGGTTGGTGTGAATCTCTTTATAAAAAAAATGGGCTTCAAGATAGTGAAGATGATACACCTGGCGCCTGTAAAAGGCGATTTGGCTCTCTGAGTGGACAGGTACGATGAGGCATCTTTATTGTATTTACGAACCGGATGTGGGAGGCATCACGACGACAATACAGAGGCTGTTACCGTCTCTGCTATCGAGTTCTCATACCTGGTACTGAATCGAGACACAAATTCGATGGAAAACCGTCGGTCCCTCTTTTTGCAAAGTGATTGAGAATCTTTGATTAACCCTCGCGGATCTCGTTCGATTCTGTCCTATCAGGATAACCTCTACTTCATCGTCGGTTTTCAACCACTCATGACTAGCGATTTCCCCAGACTAAGGTAGCCCGCCCCGGCTTACTACACCACCACCACCACCACCACTTCTTCTGCAATGCAGAATGCTGCTGGTCTCGGCGGGTGATATCGTCAAAAAAATCGATATTGTGGATGACGCGGGGCACTGCAGCCAACGAACGAGGTGTTGCGTTGCCCATACCTCTCCCAGGTCTCCTCTCATCGCCGCCTTCCTCACCCCTCCCTCATTTAGGCCCGTTGGGCAGAAACGCTGGTGCGCAGAAGCGTTCATCCATTCCCTCCCTGCTGCTTCCCGCACATGCGAACTGGCATGCCGTGCTCTTCTTCCGCACGTGGAAAAAGCCCTGCGAGGCACGATCACTTTCAAACCAATGCAAAATTACTTGCCTTGCGTCTCCTTGATCATCCCGTACCTGCAGCAGAGGCGGCGGACTCGCGCGCTGCATCCTTGTTGCCGCTGTTGCTGCCCGACGCACCAGCCGCGGCGGCCTTACCACCACCACGACCGCGTCTGGTCCGCTTGTGGTGCTCCGGCTTCTCGGAAGGCGTGGCGTTGTTGTTAGACGCAGTCGTAAAGGGTGCAGCAGAGCTGGAGCTTGCTGCTGCGGCATTGGCGGTGCTGCTATTGGAGTTGTTGGCATTCGGGTTCGAGTTGGAGGCGGCGGCCTTCTTCTCCTTGCGCTCGAGAACCTGGACTGTGCCCTGCGCAACCTGTATGGGGCTCGCAACGACGGCCTTGACGAGGCCGTCGTGATCGGAGAAGTCGACATAGGCAAAGCCCTTGCGCTTGTCAATTTCGACAAACGTAACGGTGCCAAAGACCTCCATGGCTTGCTTGAGGAGTGCCTCGGTTACACCCTGTGATGGGTTTGCGTGTTTGACGAAACCGCGGGTCACGCCAGCGGTAACGGCCGGGGAGCTCTTCTTGGCGTTACTGCCCTTGCCTGATGCTTTAGGACCGGTCGGGGCATTGGCCTTAGCATTTGCCGGCGGAGCGGCTGGTTGCGGATTTGAGCCCGAGGCTTCCTTGTCAGCCTTGGTGGGCTTCTCCTTGTTCTTCTCCTCGTCCTTTTTCTTGAGCAGAATAACAGGGGCCTTGGCAGGTGCCGGGGCGTTGGAGGAGCCGCTGGCCTCGGTTGATTTGCCCTTGGTCTCGTTGGCACTTGCATTTTTTCCGCCACCACCTCTTCGAGAGCGACTCGACTTAGGCGCCGTGGGTGCAGCATTTCTTTCTGAGGCCTGCGAAGTGACTGAGGATACAGGAGCCGGAGCCGTAGCTGGTGTAGGAGCAGCTGCTGGGGGTTCGACCGCAGGTTGCGATGATTCCTTCGAGGACGTTCCCTTCGCATCTGCCTCAGCCTTCGCAGCATCGAGTCGTGCCCTCCTATGGGCGCTTCCGGGACTGATACCAAGATCTCGCTGCAGGATACGGGCAGCGGCCGCAATGCCAGCTCGCCTACTCTTGGGCTGATCCTGAGAGGATGAGGAGGCCTGCGTGATTTGGCTGGCGACGGCTTCTGCAGCCTTGACAGCATCCGCGGTGGCCTTCTTAGTGAGGATTTTGACCGTTTCCTTAGGTTTGTCGGTCGATTTCTCTCCTTTGGAGTCCTTCTTGCCCTTCTTTGAATCCTCCGCCGTCGATGCTGATGACTTGCCTTTGGTGCTGGAGTCCTGTCGAGCCTGTTTAGCGCTCTTAGCGGCAGCAGCTTCTTTCTGCTTGTTCGCCTTCTTCTCTTTGAGGAACTCAATCAAGGGTGTCGTCGTGACCTTGGTTTCGGGCTTCGTCTCCTCCGTATCCTTGCTCTCGTTGTTCTCGTTGTCCTTGTCCATCTCGGGATTGGTCAAAGACTGTAGAAAGGCCATGAATTCGGGGTCTTGATCAATAGTTCCCTGCCTGGGGTCGGTGCGCTTCTTGCTGCTCGGGACTTTGTTGTATATCGCAAACTCGAGAACTGGCGGACCGATCAAAGACGCGCTATTGGAAGTCATTTTCGCATCTTCCCAAGATTTGGCCTGAATCAAATTCGACAATGTGTTTAAGCTCTCGCGTTTCAGAACGTGGAGGTAGACTCGTCCTGGCCTTGACGGCTTCGCAGGGCTAAGCGCAAGAAGCATTAGCGACCAACCCTTGGATGCATGGGAGCGAGAACGTACTCATGAGAGATCTTCCCAGACTCAAAGTTGTGCCAGCTAACAAGACCATTGCCAGCCTTCCATTCATCGCCGAGATTGTTCCATAGTTCTTGCTCCGTCATGCCCGGGGGTAGTCTTCGAATGATAACTTTGTCGCCTTCGACAGGAGTCCTACTCTTGTTGGACTTTGGCGCATCAGTGGTGGCCTGTTGACTGGAAACCGGAAGAACCCCATTGACCTTTCGAGATGAGCCTTGGGCGCTAGATGTTGCCATCGTAGCACGAACAACCATGTAGGTCTGCAAGGTAGGTGGGAAAATGGATTCGTGTACTCGTGATTGATGCCTGATTAGGAGCGACTACGCTGCTTTGTTTGGTTATTGTTCCTTGTCTTGAGGCCTGGTGATAAGCAGTGCATGAAACATTGAGAATTCAGTAGCGGAAGGATTCAGAAAAATAAAGGCTGCTGCGCAACAGTCCAAGAAGGTGCGTGCAAGATCTGGCTCAACTGTCAAATGGTGATGTGATGGCAGGGCAGTGACGCGGGGCTGCGGGTTCACCTTAACTTCAGATCTGAAAGAATGGCTCACTGAGAGCCACTGGCTCATGTGGGCCTTATCTTATCGATGGCACTAGCCCCTTTGGGATAGCTCCATCTGTGTGGGCCCTATGGAGGTTGCCCTTCCTCACCTCACAAAGCTGGGCCCTCGGAAAAACTTCGGCTGCAACACAACCTCTCACAAACACCCTCGGTCAAACAATATTCCGAGACACCAGTTGTTCCGAGGATCACCCACAGCCACCAGCCAGGATCAAGATGGGAGGTCCAGATGAGAAAGGAGGTGGTACCTCGACCAACGAGGACAAAGAAATCGAGGCAGTTGACGTCTACCCGGAGACTTTTCCGGTATTTGAGGACTCGAAAATTCCGCCAACTTCTCAAGCGACCGAAGGAAGTCATAATCGGGAAGCTACGACGAGTTCTGAGTACAGAAAGCCGACGGCGCAAGAGATTGAAGAGGCGATTCGACGAGCGAACAGTTATCAGAATAACCCGCTTACCAACACTGTCAGACGGAGCAGACCGACGGGCGACCGTGCTCGCAACCGCAGTGCCGCCGTCTCATTCCAACTCCCGCCAGTTCCATCGGGTGCGAATCTCACCAACCTCGGAGCGCACCATCCCATTCATCCCCAGGCAGTACCTGTTGCATCTGAAAGTGTTACCCCAGCGTCCGTCCGCGGTCGAGGAATTCCAGTCCCTGGTCGGTCTGGATACATACCCACACTTGCCCCCCTCAGCAATCAGCCGCAAAGACAGCTCAGAGACCCCAACTCGGGCCGTCCTGTTGTAGTTGGTGGCTTCGACAACGCGCTTGAAGAGCACAACCAGCGAATTCTACGTCGCAAAACCGACGACCAGCTAGCTCTTGAATTATTCTTGCAGAGTTCTTCACGCCAAACCACCTGGGACTCTCAGAACCCTCGACCTCTACCAGAGCTCCCCCCTGCTAGCACCGCACAGCAGTCTACTGCTGTCGCACCTAACCGCGCCTCCCAAACCCCTCCTACCCCCGCCCAGAACACTGCTCCACCGCACCCTTCGCCTTTGCAGTCACACCCAGTCGCCTTGAACCAGCAGGAGCCTTTTCCAGCGCCCTCACGTCGTCGTGCCCGGTCCGCATCATTGTCAAGCCCTTCGAACGCCGCTGTCCTCGCTTCTCCGGGACTGACTCAAAACCTACATTTCCCTGAGACCATCCAGGAGGAGCTGTCGACCGAAGTCGAAGATCTCGATTGTTCTGAGGAGTCCGACATTCGCACCGCACAAGTCGGCCGCTTCGTTCAACCGCCCGACGACCCTTCCCAAGACTCATCGCAAGTTTCGCTCCGCGGTGGAAGTCTAGAATCCGACGATTTTCCCGAGGGATTCGATCCGAGCTATTACGAGTCAGACAACATCGAAGACGAGTTGGCTGAATTGATCAACGAATTCAATCCAAATATTTCCGACGATTTCAACCCGTACGAAATCGAGGCAAGATCCCAAGTTCACACACAGATACTTGGGAAAATGGCGAGCCACATTCCCCGACCCGGCCCTGCCAAACTCTCCCCCAATGCGGGCTTGGACGAGTGGCTGGAGGAAGCCAAACAGTGTCACTACTTACCCGAGCGGGCCATGAAAGAGCTTTGCGAGCTTGTAAAGGAGGTGCTGATGGAGGGTGAGGAGCACGATGACCGCCACCTTTCGATTATGTTACTGACTTGCGGACTATAGAATCCAATATCCAGCCTGTGTGCACCCCTGTCACAATTTGCGGTGATATCCACGGTCAATTCTACGATCTCCTGGAGCTCTTCCGTGTTGCGGGTGGAATGCCTGGCGAATCACATGTGGAAGCGCCCAAGACTGCCACCACCGTCATCAGCCCTGAAGATATCGAGCCGCCTACCGAGATCACGAACCCCAAGCTCAAGAAGAAAGTCCGCAACGCCGGCAGCCCTCCTGCCGATGAAGATGACGAGGAGGAGGCTGCGGCTGCCGACACCAGTGCGACTTCCCGAGCTGACTCCGCAGTCGAGGTTTCCACCACCTCTCAATCTGCCGACACCCGCTTCGTTTTCCTGGGTGACTTCGTCGATCGTGGTTACTTCAGTCTCGAAACCTTCACTCTTCTCATGTGTTTGAAGGCCAAGTAAGTGGCTTTCAATGTCCGTTGCATTATGGTACTAACTCCTCTCAGGTATCCCGACAGAATTGTCCTCGTCCGTGGCAATCACGAGTCCCGCCAAATTACCCAGGTGTATGGATTCTACGAGGAGTGTCAGCAGAAGTATGGCAACGCCTCCGTGTGGAAGGCGTGCTGCCATGTATTCGACTTCCTCGTCCTCGCTGCTATCGTCGATGGTGAGCTTCTCTGCGTTCATGGTGGTCTCAGCCCGGAGATCCGTACCATCGACCAGATCCGCGTTGTCGCCCGCGCACAGGAGATCCCCCATGAAGGCGCTTTCTGTGATCTTGTTTGGTCCGACCCCGAAGATGTTGAGACTTGGGCTATCAGCCCTCGTGGCGCCGGCTGGCTCTTTGGTGACAAGGTTGCAACCGAGTTCAACCATGTCAACGGTCTCAAGCTCATAGCCAGAGCGCATCAGCTTGTCAATGAGGGCTACAAGGTCAGTAGCCGTTTCCATTCTCTTTTCTTGTTTACCCACTAACCCAGTGCAGTATCACTTCCCTCAGAACTCGGTCGTCACTGTGTGGTCAGCTCCAAACTACTGCTATCGCTGCGGTAACGTTGCGTCGATCATGACCGTAGACAAGGACATGAATCCCAAGTTCAGCATCTTCTCTGCAGTCCCCGATGAACAGCGTCATGTTCCGGCCAACCGCCGTGGACCAGGCGACTACTTCCTCTGATTGGACTTGCTCATCTGTACACTGGAGACGCGACCGCGCTTGGCACGCAACTGGATGACCAATCGGAACACTTATCCCGAGTTGCCAATGCAATGCTTGCTGAACTTGACGTCTCCAATGGCCGCTCTATATTAGGCGGCAAGGCTTCGAAGATATCGACGAGCCTAACATTTGTCTGAGTACACGGGACCGTCTTGGGAACTACATACCAGGACATCAACGTTGTGCACCAACACGACGCACGATGATGAGAGACGGTTCTACTTTTGCTGCAGACGGATCACTTTTGCTATCAAGGGTCTGCATTTACGCAGCACATTTGATGAAATTGACAAGAATCCACATCGGGATTATTGTCTGACCCATGCGATGGGTCATATCGTGATTTCTGGGCATGAGCACTGAGTACTCCGTGGATCACAACTTGCCATTGGCTCGTCTGTATCCAAGTACATGAGGAGTGACTCGCTCGTTTGCTCGGAACGATCACGAAAGAAAGGAATCGAGATGAGAGCCTCGAAGCTAGCTCGGCCTCGAAGAACATAGGGATGAGGGAGGACGGGCTGGCTACTTTTGACGTATTTGACGATGACATGCATGGAATAGAGGGCAGGGGAAGACCTTCTTGTAGAATAGGCATAGAGATGTTAAATACCCATACATTCTGGAATCAGGAAAGCTGGACTACTTGATGAGTACTGTAAAGTTGCTTCGTTCGTGCTCATGCGCAGGATATGCCTTGATAATGAACAAAGGGCTGATAAATACCGGGAAACGACATGCCATTTGATTTGATCCCACATCCGCCATACCGCATCGAACCCCGTCTCACACCAGACGCAATGCGATATACTAGGGTACTCCATAAACCGATCCCTCACTGAAACCTTTCAAGCGCGTTTGACTTCCCACTTTAGATCCTTGATGCTCACTTCCTCTCCCGCCTTCTCGTCGTAATCATACCACTCGCCATCCGTGAGCTCAATGGCAGAGAACTTGCTGTTTGAATCAATGCCTTCGGCGAGCCACTCACCCTCTGGAATGAATTCGGTGAATTCAAGCCCACGGCAGTCGAACTCGAGGATTTTTTGCTGCTTCGCGGGCTCGCCGTGCTCGTAGGAAGCTGGGGCAGCCTTTACGGAGGCCGAAGACTCGCGCTTGCAGTTCTTGCATTTCCAGACGAAGTTGGCCTCGCCTCTGCTGCCACTCATCTCATTTTCGTCCTAACGTTTGTCATTCGCGGGTGAGTGAAGTGTCAAGAATCCATGTATCCTAGGGAACACTCACAAAGCGATTGACGCCGACAGTCTTTTCATGGACCTCGCGACATGATGTGCACTGGACTTTGAAAGTGTACCAGAAGGGGTTACCCTCGGTGTCATCAGGGCGGAGATTTGTGACTCTGCGGACAGTCAGTGTATTGTTCCGAGACCTGTATTCCGTCAAACCGACCCGTTGAGCTCAGCTGTGAGATACAGGGCGAACATCTTGAGTCAAAATTCCCGTTTTTGATCAGCGTCTTTCGAAAAGTTGTCGCTCAAGTTGTTGCTCGCATCCAGTGCTGATAATGGGCCGCTGCAAACTCATGGTGGGGTTGCCTTATGGAGGGGCAGTTGCATCACTTCTATAAATGAATACAGCTTTTTAGTTACAATACTCGTTTAATCGCATGAAGTCCACCTCCATTCTCAGTTGACCGTCGCCAATTGGATCGCCAGATCGGCCAACCTGAGTAGGTTGTCAATCACAGCGCATCAGGCGATAATTTCCGCGCCTGGAACGTCCCGACCACCTCGGCCACCTCGACCACCTCGACGCCCCGTTGTACGCCAACCCATCAATTCGACTCAGAGGGGCTGCCAAAGCAGCCGGCATGCCGTCAGAATGCAGGCACTCTGGTCTAGAGCGGGCCAGGCACACCGTTGTGGTTGCAGGGCCTGCTTCGATGCCGCCGGGGGCATAATGCGGCATTCGGCGACGCGCGCGACGCCGCGAAAACCGACCTTTAGCGAGATCTTCACGGCCTGCTACACATCGATAATGGGAACGGCAGCGGTTCTGGATGCAACGAGGAAGGACCGACGACGAAAGGACTTGGACCGGCAGATTGAGGAAGTCAGGACGGAGCTGGCAAATCTTGTCGAAAACGCACCGACCAATGTTCTCAAGAAACCGCCTGCCGGTGACATTGCCAACCGATACAAAGGCGCATTGGCAGATCATGTGCGACAAAATCCCGAAATCAGCGAGATTCTCGACACCCTCGGGCCCCAATACAAGTGGCAGAAAACTGCTGCGACATCCGCCGCGGTCAACAAATTATGGAAGAAATACGGGCTGAGCCCTTCGAAGGAAGCTAACATTTCCCCGAGAAGTATCGACTATGATGTCTTGATGCAAGGGCTCACCGAGGAGGAGCAAATGTCTATCAAGCACCGCCAACCGCAGACGATCAGGCAGGCCAAGGCGGCAGAGGCGGCAGCGAGAGCGTTGGTCTACGAATTCCTGGATGCGGGCGAATCAATCCTGGGAAGCCAACAAATACAATCGGCACGAGAAGAGGTAGTCAAGCTGAGCAAGAGCAAGCTCCCTCGTTGGGACCAAGAAGAACCGAACGCTGAGGCTCTAAACGAGTGCAGCTTGGAGTTGAATCAGGTGTTGAGGAGTATATTTGCCGCCTCGACTCCCTCCAATATCCCTCACACGGTTTTCAGCCTGTGCCATAATATCCTTGTATCGCCTCAAGCCCTCACCATTCACACATACAATCACCTTATCGCCGGGTTGGATAGAGTCGGGTTACATCCCCTTGCTTCAGCGGCGGTCAACGCTTTCTACCGGGGCCAGGTTGAGCCAACGCAGCACACCATGGTATGTCTCTTGAATCACTTCAGGGAGATGCGCGACGCGGACGGTTTCGCGGAGGTCATCGCTCGCATGACTGGCAAAGACCAGCGAGGTATCAAGATTCGAAGAAAGACGCACGAGGAAGTAGAGTTGAACCACAAACTTCATGGGTGGGTCAGAAAAAAAGATGTCGCCATCGGCTCCCAATACATCGTCGAAAGGGCCCGTTTCGATGCAAACATTTTTACCGCCATCATCGAAGGCATGTTAGCTTTCGACAGACTGAGGGCTGCCGTAGGCGCATTTGCGGCGAGCATCACAGCCGACCTTAGAGTTAGCGCGCGGACGGTATCCGACCTGCTCGACTGCTGCGTCCGCTCTTTGGATCACAAAGCTGCGGCCGAGGTCTTGAAAGTACTGGCAACCAAACCTCAGCTGATTGGACAAGTCTTTACTCAAGAGAGCGACCAACTACGTCTGGCGGGGCGCATACAGAGCTTACTGGAAATTTGTGGTTTCAAACACATGTCGCCGGCCAGCGTTGCGCCGTTCTTGAAAGCACTTCCGACCTCGTTTGCACTAAGCGAGGAACAAAGACGAGGTATCGATATCGCGCGAATAGTCCACTTTGTAGAACACACGGAGTGGAAGTTGAAGTCTGTGCGCAAACTCATTCAAAGAGTGAAAAGCGGCGATACTGGTTGGCTCATTGAATCAGGTTCTCCGCGGATGAGGTTGCTCTCAAGGCAGGCCAAGTTGGTTTGGCCAGTACCTGTCGCCGTATTGGCAGAGGTTCCCTCAGAGGACCATAGCAAGTCGACTTTGGACACCGCCAATGCTCTCTCACAGAGAGAGAGTGATTCGTCTGCTTTGGACCGCCTCGAGGAAACGTCGATGACACAAACAAAGCACAGAAGCAAAAGCAAAAGTGAGGCTCTCAGAGCGGACCAGAGCGAGCTGTCTCCCGCACCCGCGAGGGACGTCTTACCGAAGGAAAGCGAATCATCTGCCTGGGATCGCCTCGAAGATGCAACGGAGGCGATCCCAAAAAAGAGCAAGAGCAAAAGCAAAAGGGAGGAGGTTTTGGCCAGCGAGGCTGGTTTCTGAGCGCTCGAAAACATGTAGATATGTATTATACCACACATGTAAAATATGGTTGTATGGCACGTAATTGCCAAGGCCAATCGATGAATAGAAATAGGGGCCAAGATGAAAGCCAGCCGTTAGATGCCCGTTATTGACCGATCCGAGAATATGCGGTTCAAATGAAGGGCACCGGGCTGCACTATTATTTCAAATGAGGTTCTTCTCCCGTGTACATACCTTTGACTCAATCCATCTGCTTCCGTCGGCTTCTAGGTATTCTAGATAACAAGGTTCTCTGGATGACAGGGTACTCAGAGGTTCATCTCCCAGGCTTTCTTATTCTCCAACCCCGCTCTGTTGGCCTGGCAGCTCTTCCTCTTCCATTGTTTCAACTGCTCATTCTCTACACATCTCGTTCCTGAAAACAAAAGCACAAGTAGAACTTTCATATTATACATTATAGATTATAGAATATGTCTAGCAAGGCACTTGAAGGACCCCCCGATGGCTTGCCGCCCCGCCATTGCGCCGTCTGTCACGTCCGCGACAAGATCTCTCGCTGCACAGGTTGCCAGGTCGTCTACTACTGCGGCCGCGCGCACCAGGCCGCGGACAGGAAGAGGCACAAGGTTGCCTGCAAAGAGATTGAGCGGATGGTGGAGCTGTACGAGTCGATAGACATCAGCATCAGGATCGGGCTGGGGCCGGGGGACGACCTGGAGACGGCTTTGCGCCTCTCTCCCGACGATATGGAAACAATGACTTACCTGCGTGCCCAACACACGTACAGCCAGGCGCTCCTCCTTGAATCAACCATCGACGCCGTCGAGATTTCTCTGGACGAACAGTGGAGTGTGCTGGAGGTGGACATGCATGATAAGTTGCGCGTCCGGGATTACATGCCGCACCTCATGATCCGTCTCGGGCAGGACCAAGAGGCGTACGACTTTATAAAGTGGTGGACGCTGGCGACGGACGAGCGCATCCGCTACCATGACTGGGACGATCCGACGGCCCCGCGCATGAATCTCACGGGCGAGGACGCCTTCGAGCCGGTGGACGACCTGGTCAAGCGCAAGAAGCTCTTTGGCCACAAGAACGCTGTCCTGCTCATTAAGATCCGGCTGTACCTGGACCTTCGGGACATTTGCAACGCGGACCGGGCGCTGAGGCGGGGAAACAAGAGCGGCATGTTCCCGTCCGAGGTGATTGACAACATCAAGCGACACAACGTCCGATCCGGCATTGTCCGGGCGCGGCGCGACCTCGTGGAGAATGACGGGTTCGTGGCGTCGCTGCGCATGGCGGAGCTCAAGAAGCAGATCCGGGAACTGGCTCGGGGGATCTTTGACAAGGATGTTCCAGAGTACGGGGGCACGATGGACGAAATGTTCTCTAACACGCAGGCGGCGTGGGACGAGACGCCGTGGGCAATGCGTACTTTACAGGACGCCGTGAGGGGTATAGCGAAGATGAGCCAGCACAATCCGGCCTGGGCTACTCGATCGAGGGGTCTGTACAAGACGAGCAGCGGTTGACGTGATTTATCTCGTGACTTTTGGTGCATGAAGTAGGCTGGTTTACAGAATGATGCATAAGAACGCACGTATGACAACGGCAAAGCACAGTTGAGATGTAGGACAGCATGGATTAGTGCGCCGTTCCTAGCTCAAACCGCCGCTACTATTGCTGTGCCTGGACAGCTGGTACAAGCTGAACAGCCTAGAAGAGAACTATGAAGGATGCCAAGAAATGAAGTCGTGCCATCACAGTCGCAAGCTCTTTGACAATGCGTGGGAAGAGGTTGCGGCCCCGAGCGCTTTGTAAACGGGGATTGACTTTGTTGGGGTAGTCATGAGTGATATCATTGCAATACGATTTGAGGCGGGGAAGAGAAAGGTGACATACATGTGAAGCAAGCTTGTTTGAATATGACTTATGTTGACAATTGAAGAGCCGAAAAGTAGCAGATAGAGTTCAATTAAAGGTATCCTTGCCTCATTTGGAAATGGGTCGATGCCGCAGATCACTCAGGTTTGGTAAATGCATCACAGGTACGGACTTGACAATTTGAAAGCACAATGCCAGAGGCGAGATAGATGCCTTGAGCCGCAGGAGTGGAAATTGAATCACGGGAACTGGAGAGTCTAAACTAGTTGGAGGTGGGCGTGGAAGGGATCCCATTTGGCCATTGCGCCGCTCTTTGGGGAATAAAGTGTCCACCGTTGATTCACGCAAAAAGTCTTGAGACTCTTTCCAGGCTGATCACACTGGCGCAAAGCCAAAGCATGACTGGCAATTCAAAGTGAGACGTGATGTTGTGGCTCCTTCCCAGGGATCGCCGTTAAATTCTTGCTCTCGTCACTAGTGTTCCATCGGCATTATCTTAGCAAGTTTGGCTTAGGTAGTCAGCAGTAAGTGGCTAGCCTCCGTGAATGCCGAATTGCATCAAGCGGGACGCCAGTCTCTCTCCATCTCTTTAGCAATCACTATCTGCTGGGGAATGGAAGCCGGGATGGATGCCGAAGTCTTTGCCCTGGCCAGGTGACAGGACCCCTAAAAAAAACCAAAACTTGGAACATGCATCGCGGAACCAGATCTGGGTGGGGTCTTTAGTAGGCCATTCCCGGGGCCGAAATGAATTTGGGCCAGTCGCTCCGATGCGCAAGAGTCAAGACTCAAGGGGTATCCGTACGATGTACCTATATGCAGAGTGATAGAGAGAGAGAGACGGGGGGGGGCGCGCAGGGTGGGCATTTAATTAGAAGCTTGCAGGCGTTTTCTATAACGGCGGCCAAAAAGTGCACTTCACCGGGCAGAGACCGATGTCGGTTTCAGGGTCCTTCCCGCCCCGGGCAGGTCATGAGGACGGACGACCTGACAAGCCTGCGAGGCGGTCTGGAACTTTTAGACAGCCCATCTGACCCGGCGTGCCGGGAGGGCTGCTCACAATGTGAGATGAGATTTGCCCGGGACGCGGCCCCGACTCGCCTAGCCCAGTGAGCCCACGATGGGAGTGCGTTGGACGGAGTAGGCACTAAGAGGTCTTGAATTACTAGTGAACGGTACAGGCTCCCTTGCGATGCACCACCGCCGGCCGGTAGAGGAGAGACCGGCGCGGGATAGGCACACACGTGCAATCAGATCAATTGGGCCAGCACCGTGAACATGCAACTCTTCCCCCC